CAGTGCGCAGGCTCGCCGGGAGGGGAATGCGCATGCGCACTGAGGCGGGTGGGCTCCCGCGCCTGCGCAGTGAGCGACGGGGAGGCGTTGCCGTGGCAACGGGAGGGCGGGAACGCGACCATGGAGCCGGCCCGAGCCGCGGGGCCGGGGCCGGAGGGGCCCCCCTGGCACGTTGGGAAGGGGGTTCAGGGCGGCCTCGATCCCGTAATGGGGAAAAGAATCAGTCTCGGGAGCTGTGGAAAGCGTTAATTCCGTTTTCTTACGGGTTTGAGCGCGGTTCGGCCTACTCCAAGGCAGGCCGCCGCCATGTTCCTCCTCCCCCTCACAGCCAGCCGGGGCCTTTCAGCATCTCGCAGTGTAAACTCAGTATTGGCTCTGTCAGACCATCACCCTCTTGGCACAGCTGGGCTATGTCCTTGCTATTAAAAAAATCTTGGCTTCCAAAACGGGTTTCTGGCAGCCAGGCTGCTTTTTGGGAGATATCCCTGCCCTGTGCTTTGCCCAGGGGGAGGAATAGCTGTGGAGGGCCGAATGCATATCAGGAGCGCTCAAAATATTTTAACAGGAAATGTGATTGTGCTGGTTTATTACATATATTGTATGTATATTAGCTGTGAAATAGTGCATTTTGTAATATGTAGCACTGACACGGTTTCCTTTCTTTTAAACATTTCTCACCTGTTCCTGAAGGAAGCAGCAAAAAGAAGCAGCACAGGGGACATCTAGGAAAAGGTGGTTGTGTGTGCAACAGTCACTCCCAAACGTCCAAGAGAAGGGAGATTCAAGTTAAGCGCCAGAGAGAAGAGTTTTTTGTGTCCCTTTCCCTTGGTCTCTTTATCAACAGTGCACAAGACAGGCCAGGCTGCGATTCAAGGGCAGGCAGCGGGATCTGAGAATTTTGTAAATAGAAGTCAAGCAGAGAGAAATGCAGCCAGACTGTCTGTCTAAGCATGGTGTGGGAGAGAGAAGAAAGCCAGCCAGTGGGAGATAAAAGAATGAGTCTGATGAGCTTAGAAAGGAAAATAATAGATTGAAGGCCAAGCAGGGCTAAAAGGCTGGATCTGAAAGACAGCAAGCTGCTAATGTGACTGCTGACTCAGATGCAGGTGCTGGCACCGAAGTGCTCTCTCTGATTTCTTCTGCTGTGATATCCAAGCACTGATTAGCAGGTTTCCTGAATTTAGCAAGAACCAGGGCCTTCCTCAGCGAAGGAAACATCTCTGTGGGCCATGGGTCATCCTCTAGGAGAGTGACAGCAACTTTTTAACAAGCTCATGTGGCAGAGTGTCCCTGTGCACTGCTTGCCATGGAAAAGGAGTGCTGCTATCTCACTTTTTCTTTGCATGAGTGGGGAACTAATGCAAGGGGATTTATCCAGGGTCATGAAGTAGAATCTTCAGCTCTGAATGTGAGCAGGAACAGGATCAGAAGACTGTGGTCCCAGTGCATTCCTCCTGGGTGTTTTAAGGGAGCTGGGAATGAAGAAGGGAAGATTAAGGAAAGCCATAGCAGAAGCTGGGACTCTCTTAGGAATAGCGATCATAAACCAGGATAGTGGGGGAAATGGGAAATAAGGAATTAAAGTGGAACTCAGGACATCTGGATTCAGCATCACCTTTGACATCAACTTCTGTACAGGCAAGTCTGACTTGCCCAGGCTAAGACAAGCCTCTTTAGCGTCGTACATTCCTACCGTCTACTTGTAAAAGGGAAAAGGGAGTCGTTATCAAGATTTCCTATCATTTGTTTAAAGCTTATGTAATGTAGAGGAAAAACTGTGCTCTTACGTGTATGTATGCTGCTGTAATACATGCCAATAAAAAAGTCCGACTGGTGAATTCCCATGCAAGGAGAGTGGATGGTGTTTAATACACCCCATCTGTGGTCTGAGGGATCCAAGGATTACTAGTGGGTCTCTTAACACTCAGAAGGCTTGTTGGCTGTAGGCTGAAAATTTTCCACCTGAGTATCCACACATTTGTGAAATATTCAGGAATTGAGATCAGACTGCTCTCCAACAGCACTTTCTGCACTGCTTTGTCATCGCATCCAGCGTTTGTTCTGCTGACTAACAGACACCCTGATGAAGCAATTCCAGCTTGGACTTTTTCCTTCCTTCCACCCCATCTACTGGCTCTCAAGGGCCAAATATTTGATACAGGTATGCTAGAAAGGATACTGATAAGGAGTGAGTTTAGTGCTTATCACTTCATAGCTAGAGGAACTGTTGTGGATTGAGAGTAGGTTTTACCTTCAGCCAGAACAAACCAAAGAACTATAGGATGAAGGATAAGCCATCACTAGGAAAAGCTGCAGAATTTAAGACACAGCAGGTAGTGTAATGCCTTAAACTTCGGGCCTGTTCAGTTCTTTTTTTTTTTTTTTTTTTTTCCCAGGGCTGCTAAGGGTCCACTTTTCTCTCTGAAGTCAACAGGAGCAGCAGACAGCACTGGGAAGTGTTCTTCCCCTGACCCTGTCCCTGACACTGTCTTCAGCAGCTGCTTAACAGAACAAAGAAGGGAACATCTCAGAGCTGTTTGCTAATACTCTGCCTCTTAGCCCATGTTATCAGAGAGCTGCAAGGATAAAGGCCAGATAAAGATTGCCACTGGGTAAAAGAACATCTTCTGAGGCAACTCACTGCTGCAATATCTGGTGCTTGAAGTAAAAATTTTTACCTTCTCTCACATTCTCTCCTCTGTGGCTGGTGACATGCGAAACGACCAAAACAAAATGCCACATTCGTCTGACTTGGAAGCTTTTACTTTTTGCATTTAGCTTCCCGTGCTTTGGATAGGCCAGTTCCCTCTTTTGCTAATAACCATCTCCGGCTTTTCATGCATCAAGGATGTGTGTGTAATATTGGATACTGACGGGCATGTAAATATGTTCCCTAAAACAGTATCACCAAGTAGATTCTTCTCAGCATACCACAAGCCTCTATTTTTGTTCCCAGTTTAAAAAGTTAACAACAGCCCTCAGTTTCTGTTTTGGTATTTTCTCCCGTTCCCCTCCAGTTTTTGCTTCATGGAAACTTAAAACTTTGGCATAACTCGTCGGGTGAAATCCCTGTCACTAATGGCGAGGGAGAGACGATCCCTCGCTCTGAAATGCATCTCTCTGCAGAGTTGGCTGCACGCCTGCTTGAACGGAGCATTTTTTCCTAAGCCTGTCTGGGGAGGTAGGCTCTGCTTTCGTGGCACCGGGGGCCTCTATGCGGCCACAGATGAAGACATCTCGCCCTCTGGTGGGTAAAACCACAACAGCACGGAAGCCCTGGCCTGCATGTTGTGTCAAGAAATAATAATTAAAATGATGAGTGTGGTGGTAGTAGAAGGAAAAAGCTGATTTTTTTTAGAGGATTGAAATTCACACCGAGTTTATATGCTAGGGTATGGGGTATGTACGTGATCGCACGTGATCCTCCTGGTAAAGAGAGTTTAAACTAGTGATGTTTGGGGGAGAGTTACCAGCAGCCCTGTCATGGAGTGCTGGTCAAGGTCGATGAGCAGAGGGCCTGGAGTGGTGTAACAGAAAGAGATGACAAAATCGACAAAACAGAGCTTAAACGGGGTCACCTCCAGCGTTTGCATGCAAGCAAGGAAGTACCTAGAAGGCACCATTATGGAGAAATCCCCCAAAGCCCTTCTGGGAAATCTGTGTGCTGGGGGTGTTTCTCCGAAATGCCTGTAGAGTAACGCAGGCGTGTGGCGAGTTAGAGATCTGTGTGCAGCTGCAGGGCTACCATCCTGCTGGGATCAGGAGGACACGGTGGGATGGCTCCCATGGCTCAAGGGTTGCGACGGAGGGATAGAGGTTCTTTAAGGACAGGTTGAGAAGATGGGGAGTTGGCCTTTGTGTGAGAGAAAGCTGGAATGCATAGAGCTCTGCGTGGATGAGGAGCCAACTGAGAGCGTGTGAGTGAGGATTAAAGAGAAGAACAATATGGGTGACATTGTAGTGGGTGTCTGCTGTAGGCTGCCTAACCAGGAAGAACAAGGGGATGAGGTCTTCTAGAAGCAGATGGAGCGGTCTCTTTGTAGGCCCTGGTCCTCATGGGGGACTTCAGCCACCCTGATATCTGCTGGAGGGACAACACAGCAGGGCATAAGCAATCCAGGAGGTTCCTGGAGTGCAGTGCTGATAACTTCCTCCTGTAAGTGATAGAGAAGCCAACAAGGAGAGGTGCTTTTCTGGACATCATACCAACAAGGGATCAGTGGTGATATGAAGGTCAAAGGCAGCTTTGGCTGCAGTGAGCAGGAGATGGTAGAGTTCAGGATCCTGAGGGGAGAGAAGAGGGTAAAAAACAAGCTCAGAACCCTCGACTTCAGGAGAGCAGACTTTGGCCTCTTCAAAGACCTCTACCTGCTTGGTAGAGTCCCATGGGATAAGGCCTAGGTAGGAGTGGGGGCCCATAAAAGCTGCCTGATATTCAAGGATCTCCTCCTCCAAGCTGAAGAGTGGTCCATCCCAATGAGCAGGAATTTGGGCAAAAATGCCAGCTGGCCTGCATGATTAAACGAGGAGCTCCTGACAAAACTCAAACACAGAAGAAACATACAGAGGGTGAAAGCAAGGACAAAGACAGGGAGGAATCCTAGAACCTTGTCCGGGGATAAGGTTAGGAAAGCCAGTTGAATCTGGCCAGGGATGTCAAAGACAACAAGAAGGGCTTCTACAGATAGACAGGTGACAAAATGAAGACTAGGGAAAATGTGGTCCCATTACTCAGCAAGATGTGGGAGCTGGTTACACAGAACAGGGTAAAGGTTGACATACTGAATGTCTTCTTCACTTCTGTCTTTACTAGCAAGAACTTCAGGAATTCTAGGTCCCTGAGGCCAGGGGAAAAGGCTGGAGCAAGGAAGATGTACCTTGGTGGAAGAGGATCAGGTCATTTAAGCATGGGATGCACCCACCAGTGCTGAAGGAACGAGCTGATGTCACTGCAGGGCTGCTGTCAGTGATCACGGCAACTGGGAGAAGTGCCTGAGGACTGGGGGAAAGCAAATGCCACTGATGTCTTCAAGAAAGACATGAAGACCCCTGGAACTACAGACAGGTCAGCCTCACCTTGATCGCTGGGATGGTGATGAAGCAGCGAATCGTGGGAACCATTTCCAGGCACAGAAAGGACAAGAAAGTCATCAGGAATAGTCAGCATGGCTTGACCAAGGGGAAGACACGCTCGACTGACTTGATAACCTTCCGTAATAAAACTACTGGCTTGGCAGATGAGAGGACAGCAATAGCTATTGTCTACCTTGACTTCCGTGAGGCTTTTGACAGTCTCCTGTAAGATCCTCACAGACAAGCTGCTGATATATGGGCCAAATGAGCAGTGAGATAGATTAAAAACTGACTGTGGGCCACCGAGAAGAATCTTTGCAGAAGAAGACCTGGATGTCCTGGTGAAAACCAGGCGTAACATGAGCCAGCAATCTTTCCTTGTGGCAGTGAAGGGGAATGGTATCCTGGGCTGCATTAGACCAAGTATTGCCAGCAGATGAGGGAGGTGATCCTTCCCCTCGGCACTGGTGAGGCCACACCTGGAGTTCTGTGTGCAGTTCTGGGCTCCCCAGTCCAAAGGAGACATGGACATACTGGAGAAAGTCCAACAAAGAGCCACCAAGGTGGTGAAGGGACTGGAGCATCTCTCCTATGGGGAAAGGCTGAGGGTGGTGGGACTGTTTTGCCTGGAAAAGGCTCAGGGGGGATTTTATTAATGTATATAAATACCTGACGGAAAGGTGCAAAGAGGAAGCAGCCAGGCTCTTTCCAGCAGTGCCCAGTGCCAGGACCAGAGGCCACGGGCACACACTGAAACACAGGAGGGTCCCTCTGAACATCAGGAAACACTTTTCTCCTGTGAGGGTGCCCGAGCATTGGCACAGGTTGCCCAGGGAGGTGGTGGAGTCTCCATCCTTGGAGATCTTCGACAGCCATCTGGACACGGACCTGGGCAGGAGGCTCTGGGTGGCCCTGCTTGAGCTGGAGGCTTGGGCCAGATGACCTCCAGAGGTCCCTTCCAAACTCAGCCTGTCTGTGATTCTGCACAGCTGTCAGCAAGAAGGACAGAAGCTCTAGCCTTGTTTCAGGTTGGCTCATGTCTAAGTGACTGATCTCCTTCTGCCCATCAGTGGTTGTGTCTCTGTACTTAATTTCAAGCATATGCTGAAATGTTTTGCTTGATCATGTACTTGTATTCACAACTTGGCCACTGAAGCTGCACTGCCTTGGTGCCAGGCCACTAAATCACTAGATACCTCTGACAGAAATTCAGGAAAACTGGACACCCAAGTACTTCTGTGGATGATGAACTTAAACCCCTCTAATCAGTGTCAGAGCAGCCATGCTGCACCTCCCTTGCGAAAAGCAAATGAAAATCAGTTACGGTGAAACCTGCAAAGTGCTTTGAGATGCACAGATAAAACCACACCCGATTATTCATTACTGTTATTATTCACTCTAATATATCCACTGTATAATTATTAACCACCTTTCTTCCTAATGACTCATAACCTTCTGTACTTGTGCATTGGGGAATTTCACACCACACCAATCGTTTTGCTTTTACAGATTTTTTTTTTTCACTAAAGTTTTTAAATAATGATCAGTACAGTACAAAGCTTAAAATATTATCAATACAAAGTCAGCAGATGGGAGCTGGGAAGGGGATGATTAATACAGAACACTCATACCCTTCCCTGTTTCCCAGGGAAAAAAAGACAAATTCTTTTGTACTTCTGTTTAGTAACAAACAGTGCTTAAAAATAATCTTGTCAGTAAAAGATGTAAATTGCAAGGCACACGAGGAACCTGTCCTTGCCTTGTTACACAATTCACTAGGCATAAATATAAGTTTAAGGCACCTCTCTCCATCCTCCCCTTCTGCTCCGTACACCAAGCAAATCCTGTCAGTGGGTAGGAGCTGTTAAGAGCAACCATGGACCAGCAGACAGCGAAGAGGCTGCCTCTGAGCCTCAGGTTCCTTCAGGATGAATCCCAAAAAGGAATAGAATAAGGCACATTGGGATGAATTCTCAGTTGTTCTGTACAGATCCAGGTTGCAAGATCTGCAAATATACTATCTCAGGACCAGAGATTCCTGGGGGAAGGAGTTAGGACCTCGGTCCCTTCAGGATCTCAGATGTGCTCAACCTTTGGTGGTCAGCTCTTCACCAAACCCTGCTGCGGGCACATCCCTCCCAGCTGTGCCTCCTTAGCGGAATGCTGGGATGGAAGGAGGCTTGCTCCAAGCAGTGAGCCCAAGGAGGAGGCCCTGAGAGGCTCTCAGACAAGCTGAGCAATTATCACAGCGGCATTTTTACTCTCTCTGGACGCAGCCCTGGTCTCCCTTAAATCAAGAGCAGGGCTTTCAGTAAGGCATCAGCAGCCACATCCCAGTCTTGGCCCGGTTGAGGTGCCGCAGACTGCACGGCACGTGGAGTCTGCCCAGGTAGGCAGCCAGGTGCGTAAGGCACAGGGATGAAGGAAAGAAATAAGCTGGTTGGAGGAAGAGGAGGAGGATGGAGACAGGGATGAAGAAAGCTCCAGTGTTGGTGAGCCCCTTGTGACACAAGGGTGCATCATCACAGCAGCAGCATTGTGTTGAAATTCCCTGCTTAATCAACCCATCATAGTAACCAGGAGGTCGGCTCCAGGTCTGAGTGCAGGGCCACACGGGGACGTGAGTGGCTTCACCTGAGGGGTAACATGAGAATATGGAAAAACACCATCACAGTTTCACTTCTGCCACACCAGGGAGAAGATATATGACCAGAAATACCTTGGAAGGGCCATGTGGGCACCTCCTCTCCCTGTCCCTGGACTAGACAGCGTTAATGTACTCATCCTCCTTTGACAAGGGCAGGACATGTTGTCTATTTTCAAACCCTTAAAGAAGGAAATGCTTGGGTGATCCCTTCCTCTGGGACCAGTATAACTCTAGGTAGCAGCAGAGCAGGGTTTGCCACTAGCAGCAGTGCCTACTCCCTCTCAGTTTTAGCCCAGAAGGGAGCTCTGGACCAGCCTGGTTTACTCCCCTTCCTGCACAGGAGCCCAGATCCATCCAGCCAGATCCACACTCAGTAGGTTATTCTGTTTTACCTACCACAAAACCAAGGCAGATTAACCTGTGAAAAAAAGCACTGCTCCCACTGGGCATCCTTCCCTGAACTTGAGAGGAGACCCACAAGCAAAGCCACGCAGACCATGGAGGGAGCAGTCCATCAGTGCAGCTAAGCTACTTGAGCAACCAGCTGCTGTGCAAGGAGGAACTGCTGCTGGCCTCTGCTCCAGCCCTTCCCTGCAGGCAGCAGTGTTGTCCAAGTGAGCCAGCCGAAAATTAAAACCAGTAGAAGATTACTGACGTTTTTTCAGTAGGATTGGTTTCCTGCTGGTCCATCTGGCACCAGCTCACTCTGCGGTGAGGTGGGCTTCTGTGCATGGGAAAAGGTACGATGAGGTGTAAGTGGGACCATCCCCACTTGCCACTCCCCTGAGGCAAATTTATTGTTAGGTCATGGCATGGCTGTACTGTCAAAATACACCATAGAAAATGAAGTAGTTAATTTCTAAGCTGGACTGGATGAAAACCAGGCGGCCTAGAGTGATGAAAAAGGGCGGACTAGATGACCTCCCAAAGGTTTTCCTACAATTTCTTCTCCTGTACTCAAAACTTACTTCCCTCCTGCTTTGTTAACTTGTCAACAGGGCCGTGAGTTTCAAATCCGTCCACAAAACATAGGACACAGCAAAGTACCTATTAATAGATCTGTTTTCAGAGACTTCTGTCTGGCCCACATTGCTCTTCTAGCAGCATAGCACTGTTTCCTTCAGGCTAATCTTCACCCAACTAGGAGGCTCTGCAGACATAAAAGCCAAAAGCAAAGCCTTTCTGGATAATAAATCGCGCGCACACACATGCACAAACACACACACACATCTCAATCGTTCAAAAACAGATCAAGTGCAGAAATCAGTGCTTGTCGTGACAAATCATATCCCCAACCCTACGCTCTGCCTGCTCAGAACCAGCAATCACAATTCATTTGCCCACCCTTGGGTTCAGTGAGACAAATCTGTGGCTGGAACAAACCCATGGATTCCTTCATTTCAGAGATTTATACGTCCTAGGAATTTGCCAGATGTCAAGGCATTTGAGGCTGCAGGTCTTGCACTGTGTCTAGCCGGGAGGAGCCATACCAGGGTTTACTTCGGAAAGCAAGTGGTGGGTCGAAGAGTGGATATCGAGGCTGCACGGGACCGTATCTCTGCATTGGCTCTGAGCATCCTGTCCTGCAAGTGCTGCCAACTTCAGTGCAACAGCGTGGCTCCATACCTGATATTCCCCCCCCAGCAAGCACAGAGAGACTCATCTAGTGGGGGACACAGTAAACCAACCCTTGCTAGACCTCGGAGAGGAGTGACCCACAGACATTAAATGTCCCTGACTGCTCTCTTTGTTACTCCACATAGGAATCACCAAGTCTCAAGGACAAACCCATCCCAAGGTTGCACAGGACCCCAATGCTGTCACCTTGCTCCTGCCTTTTGCTGTTCTACCTTCATCTAGTGCTGGATTCACAACCCCACTGGTCAGAGAAAAGCAAGCCTGCAGCTTCAAGGCTTTCCCACGAGGCCCACCAAGGACTGCCTGGTGTCCTGAAAAGCACCATTATGGTGGGAATAAAGACGACTTCACTTTCATACCCTTTTGGCCATGACCACCATAGGGATGTTGGAGGCCCAGGGCCCAGAGCCTTTCCTGTATCAGACGGGTTACACCCCAGTTACTCCACACTGCATGGACGGTGTTTGAGATCAGTCAGGCTCCCTAACAGATAATACAGTCAGTCTATGCAGAAATGCATGAACCTGTCTCACAAGCAGCCAAAATTGTGCATCCAGCATCAAAAGCATCTCCTCTCCTGGGGCCAGCGCCCTGAGTACTGATGGCCTCAGGAGTGCTCAACCTCTGCCACTGCTACCGAGGAAAGCTCAAAACCATCTCCAGCCTGGCCCAGGCCCAGCTCCTCAAAGGCAGCCAAGCACTTAGAATGGAAGTGAGGCGCTGCTGAAAACCGGTGTTGTAGGCTACCAAACAGCCATCAGCACTGCTGCTACCTTAGGTCAAATTCAAACTGCTGAGAAAGACCCCAGCTGCTGTTAGCAATCCTTGGGACAGCCTTACTCCTTGGTTTTGATGAGCAGCTCTGCTGCAGATGGTGCAGACACACACAGAAAAGATGGAGCTGACCTAACATCCCCACCTGTGCTGGACCCACGCCAGACACAGGGCTCAGGTTCAAACCCAGTTCGTCCTAGAGGACCCCAGATCAGGCCTAAGTCTCCAAACGTGCTTCGCCAAAGCCACCTCAGCAATCTGGTGTTGAGATATTTGACAAGGAGACCGCGGAGAGAACCTGGTTTAGCCCAGTTGGAGCAGGGAAAGGATTATACCAGCCACTGTGCCACATGTGCCCTAGAAATGTAGAATCCTCCTGAAACCTTGCCTACTGCCTTTGATAGTAACAGGTCTCTCACAGATAGCAGAGATGGCAAAACCCAGAGAGGTCATCCCATCCAGCTGTGGTCCTCACGGTGCATTCTCCACTGTGTTGTGGGCCCTGGCAGACCCCTCTACAGTCTTACAGCCTTCAGGCTACCCTCCCTGACATTCAGCAAGATATCACCCACAGGTTTACCAGAACGAACAAGAAACCTCTGCCTATTCCAGCATCCTTGGTTAAATGCCTTGTTCTGGCTTAAAACACTCCATGTCCACCTGGATGGCAAAAGGCCATCCTGCTGTGAAAATGCATCCAGCCCTCCACCCGAGTCCAGGGTTCCCAAGGTTAGTCAGCGTGTTAGGCAAATAAGACAGTTATGTCTCTAATATGTTATGCCCCCTTTCTTGATTTTCACCACCCCGGTGATGTCATGGCTGTCACATTCCTGACTCTCAGGAGTCCTTTGTAGCCAGGCTGTCCTTGATCCTGCATCGCAGGATGTAAGCTGTGATGGCACTACAAGCCACGAGGCCAAAAAAAGAGATGCAGGAGAGATAAACAGAGAAAGGCCCATGTCTCTTCAGGAAAATCTCCTGCCTGTTCTTGTAATCCAAAAGAATGGCCTCCAGCTGTGATAGGGTGCAGATTGCCAGGAAGGTGTGGAAGATCTGGTGGGCATGGCCGACGATATCGCAGGAGCCAGGGAAGTACTTCTCAGGGACTGGGCAGGAGAAGAAATAAGCACTGATAAGGAAGAACAGTATCTGGTACGTGTGGTACCAAGCAGCATCTTCCTCACAGCCCCCCAGGTGACACACAACCACCCGGTGAGCCACAGGACTGATATCCAAGATGAAGGCCAGGCCAGCTGGGATCACCTGGCACATCTTCCTCATAATGGGGTAAGGCCGTCGGTACCGATACTTCGCGTAGCAGCAGCCGGCACAAGACAGCCAGCCACAGAAAGCAGCTGCCGGCAGGAAGAAAAGCCAGAACTTGTCATACCAGGCTTGGTCGGAGCTGTAGTAGAAATGAGCCAGGGCACTACCATACTGGTAGATGCTGACTCCGACGTAGTCCACGAAATAGAAGGTGTAATGGTACAGCTCCGATTTGGACTGCAGAAGGTGGGCCAAGAGGCTGCAGGTCAGGTAGGTGACAGAGGAGAGGACAAAGATGAGCAAAGGCAAGGACCATGCGTCCACAGGTAACTGCTCAGCCTCCACAAACGTCTTGAATCTCAGCAGCACAGCCAGCGCTGCCAGGAGATGAGTCCATACATTGACCACTTCATTGTGCTTCTGGAAGAGGCTGAGGAAGTAGTACCGCCAGTCCTGGCCGGTGGGACGGTACCCGGTGTGGATGTACGGCTCACGGAAGAGCTGCGGCACCTCGCACTCTTTGACCGTGCAAGGCATCTTGGGGAAGCCATCCTCCAGCAGCCTGGGCAGCCGGCTGAGATGCTGCCCGCTGAGGGACAGCGTGCTGATCCGCTCCAGGATGGCTGTCATCTCGCTGCGTGCGGTGGCTTGGAGCCCAGATTTGGGGTACGCCGTCTTCGTGCCCTGCAAGGACGGGAGAAAGAAGAAATGTTAACGGTGTTGTATTGGGGAGGAAGAGTGTGCTGCCATTTCTGGGTGGGATAACCATGGTGCTATCGAGACACTGGCTTTCTCTTAGGAGAGGGGTTTTTTTCTTGACTTGGCAGACCTAAAGTCATCATGGAGAAGGATGGCACAGCCCCGTCCCTGTAGTTCAGCCTAGGTCAGATGGGCACAGCAGTGCCACAAGCCTGCCTTTCCTCCCCAATTCCTTGGGTGCTCATCTTGGAGCACGTTTAGAAGTCAGTAAGGGGGTGCAAGAAGCAGTTAACATCAAGAAAGCACTTGATGATTTGCAGAGTGAATTTTTCACCCCTTTCCCCAAATCAAACTGCTTAGGGACAAAATTGGGGTGTAATTACTCATCAGAGGGATAACCTGCCTTTCTGCACCTGAGTGAAGAGGGTCCCAGGTGAATTGTGGAGGTTGCAAATAAGCTCGTCTTCCCTGCTACACAACTTGCACATGGGCTGCACGCCTGGGGCTGCTGCAGTGCATGGGACAGAGGGAGAAGGGGAGAAGTCCATGGTCCCAAACCTGCAGCTCTCCTCCCTCCATGTGTAAGAAGCAGCAGGCCTGGGAGATGATGGAGAAATGAGGGGCTCCACAGCAGAGCTGGCTGCGATTTGGGTATAGCATCAAGGCCTTGGGAACATCCACGGAGTCATGCTGAGGGGCTGCCTGGATGCTCAGAGCAGCCAAACCCCAGCGCTGGGCACTCCTCTGCCTCCTCTGCTCTAGTCCTTGGCAACCTCCAGCGTGGCTAAGCTCTGGCTGGAAAGCTTCAGATTCAGGGCACAGCAGGATCCTAATGTCTGGAGACTACTTCACAGCACTGAATTAATTCCCAATACCCTCTGTTTCCCTTTCACCCTAGATATTTCTCTTCCCTGATGGAGTTACGCCACACAAAATACAGAACTTGTCACACAGATGACCATGCTTGAACTGAAATTGATGCTGATGGAGCCCCACCAGACTCTGCAGGCTTCTGGTTACTCCTGTGCAGCCAAGGCATACATGTTGGCAGGAGTGAGGCCTGACTCCTAAGCTTATATGCACCCAACGAGAGCTGCAGTGGATGGAGACAGCCAAAAATAAGTAAATACAAATAAGTATTTTGCCCGAGTGTGGGAAATGATATATTTTTGTTCTGTTGCATCAAAGACTAGCTGCTGCCAGAGGTGAGGCAGAGGAATAGTTTGCGTGGGAACATGATGGGAGACCCATCCCAGGGTGGCGACAGAGGACACGACAGTGTTAAACACCAAGAGAGTGAAAGCAGGAGGTGGGACCTGTCAAACAGTCCCAGGGAGAGACACCACAAAGAGCAAAGTCAGAGCAAACTCTGAACTAGGTTGCAAATCCCACTTCCTCTAGCAACCCAAAGCCTCTGATAACAGACAATATTTTCACGTTGCTTCCGTATTCTAGCAGATGGGAGTTGCCATAATTAAGTTACATTTTCTAGCCAATTCTGTCTCTCCCTGCACTTTCCAGGCTTTCTGCCTTAGCATCTCTCAGGGCTGTTTTTTTTTGGTTTTGGTTTTTTTTTTTTTCCTTGTTTGCCACAGGGCAATCTGGCTGATGAGTTTGATGGAGCTGCATTAGCAACAGAGGGCAAAATGGTCCCTGCAAATGGTATTTTCGTTTTATAGATGCATAACACAACAGAGCACTCTTGCTAGGAGGTTTGATGCTGTGCACGTTCACAAAGACTTTGTTTCTCTCCTAAGTGTCTGCAGGGTCCATATCTGTGGTGGGACATGCAGTTCATTCAGCACCTTATGTATCCCTGTAGGGATACATGCCAAAATTTAGAGAGGCAAGGCAAATTTTGACCCTGGGGTACTCCTATGAGGGGATGGTGTTCTAATGTACAGCCAGTCTGTTCTGGCTCCTTGTAGCTGATGGAAAAAGAAAGGCTCGTTCATCCAACTTACTCTAGGCCTCACCTTCAGGGTAAGGCAAAGCCCAAGCAAGGAGACCATCCCCAGCTATGCAGCACTGTAGTACTCACCCTCGATTGCCCTGTATCTCCTTTGGATGATCTGGCCAGAAACTGGCTGGAAACTGCGCACTTCAGGGTGGGAAGGACAGGGAAATTTTATGGACGTGTCTGCACTAAGACAGTGTTTGATTTCCTGGTCTAGATGCACAGACAAGAGCTTCCTTCCCACTGCATCTCCTTCACCCAGACATCTGCTCTCTCCAGCTGATGATCTCCAGGCCTTATGCACAGGTTTGGCCCGTGCAGAGGTGTGAGTACAGACTCTGAAGTGCTTTGTGTGTCCTACTCTCCTCTGCCCTGCGCGTTAACCTGTGTTTTACACCTCTCCCAGCAATTGCTCAATATAACCCAAGCAAGAGGGCTTGGACCCCTGCTCACCATTTTGCAGCTTCCCTTTAGCTAAACATTGTTCGAGGATTTGGGCCCACTACAGGGGGCTCAGAGCTGAATCCTTATCCCAGTTCATCCCAGCAGGATACTGGAAAAGCCTCCAGAAAGCTCTTTCGGTCCTGATATTGGAGATGGGGATGATGGTGGCAAGGCACAAGGAGAAAGGGCATACTGAAGCTCCCCACCTTTTGGAGGAGACAGACTAATGCTAGCATGGACCCCAGGACAACAGGAACTGAAATCCAGCTCAGATATGGCACAGACCGGGCAGGTGAGCTGCACGGGAGCAGGACTGGAGCGCTCATCTCCTGCAGAGAGGCAGCAATACGCTAAAACCTGCCTGTAAAGAGCAAAGGCAAGCAGAAGCCAGGCGGGCAGACAGCAGTCAAGCCTGGGCATACGGCCGCATGCCAATGCGAGGGGCACATCGCCCCTTCCACCATCCACAGCCCGCCTGCTCTGCATGCTGACAAGGACATGGGGGAGACAGGCAGCTTCTGTACCGGGCACAGGCTGGCTCTGGCTTGTGTGGTGTGTGCTGGCGCCAGGATTTTGCCGTGGTCCCTCATCCTGACAGCTCAGTGTATAGAGCGAGCATCGCCTTTGAGTAGAGGTAGGGAGAAGTTAGATGCGGCAGATCCCCCTGACAGCAGCAGACAAGAGAGATTCTTCCAGGACGACTTTCATAGCTGGAAAATGCCAGTTTTTAACAGGTCAAGGGAGGGTCAGAGATTTTCAAAATAATAGTCCAAAATCACAAGAAACACATCTGATACTCAGATAAACAGCACTAAATCAGGAACCTGGTAGACTGCTTATTTTAAACCGAACTTGTGACATTAACGAGTGAGAACAAGTTGGCAATTTCCAGCGATCATGTGATGGACAAAGCGACAAGCAATTAACTTAGAAAAGAGAGAGAAAGAAAAAAAAAACCAACCAAAAAACACCAACCCAGAAACCCAAGGTCAGCACTGCCTGTTTCACTTTCACAGAGCCCCTATTCTTTCCCCTTCACGGGGGCGTAGGAGCGGCTGAAAGCCACATTCATCAGCAGGGCGTCTTGTTGAGATTCTGTCCTCACCCCTCATCTCCGGGGGATTCAGTTATTTTGGCTGCTCCCAATTAACGGCAACCAAGTATCGTTTGTTCGGGGAGGGAGCTGCAAGGCGAGAAGGAGGGAGTGGATGATGGCCAGGCTGTATCATTACAGCCACAATAAGAACCGCGGCACAGGAGGAGAACGATCCCGTTCCAATTTTTCTCTCCCTTTTGAAGAGAGTAATTGGAAACCTGAGCTTTTCCCAGCTCTTTTGCTTTTTGGTCACAGTCTCATGGAGGGGTTTGAATGAGAAAATTTCCTACAGAGTACAGCTGATTTTCCCACCGGTCTGGCCTCAGCGTTAACTGTCTGGGACTGAGGCTGTACCAATGTGATATATTTGCTTGCAGAATAGTATCCAGGCATCAGAGGTCAACACAGGCTTCCAGAAAGGCAGTAATTCCTGGTAAACAAAGCAGAGAGGACCGGAGGACTCAACTGTGGGGAAGTCTTTAATAAATGCATTGCATTTAACATAGAAAAAAAAAAGTGGTGGTGGTCAGCGTGAAAATAACAGCAGTGATCGTGTAGCAGTGGGCAACATGCCAGCTTTGAAAACTGCAGGTGATTAATTCCTGAATTCCTGTCTTCTGGGAGTTGAGCAAAAGTCCCTGGAGGGAGTCCAGGTCATTTTGAAGCCTGGGGTTTTATTCTGACCCTTTCCTACATGGGGTTAACTTCAGTGTCGCAGCTCCTACAGCACCAGGAAGGTAGAGAGTGGCTCAACTCGCCTCTCCAGGGCTGGGAGAGGCTGCACCAAGGCTGCACCCAGTGCAGATGCAGTGGGTAAGCCCCATCCCAAAGCCTGCTGCCTGCAGGCTGGTCCTCCCTGAGCTCAAACGTCTCTTCCTAAAACTAAACCGCTTATAGAGAGGGCTCAGGGCAAACTCTGAAAGACCAGTTTGGGAGCAGTGTGCCAGCTCCCCCATCTCATTCTGCCTGGTGTTTTGGCAAGGCTACTGGAGAGATGAGAAATTAAGAGAGCACGGACCGGTTCAAGCAGCAATTCCTGTGTAGTCTTGGTATTACTTGCTCCCTTCTCCTGCCATACGTTCAGATGCTAATCTTCCTCCTAACTGCAACACAATGCTCAGATCCCCTCTGCAGGGACTTAATGGGATATCAGAGAGATCAGAAACTGGAAGAGGTGGCATCTGATGGTTTGTGTGAGGGATGAGCCCTGCCCGAGCAGGCAGCAGGGTACGAGGGTATGATCTACACTCCAGCATCAAAGAAGTGGAAAACCCCACAACCAGAGAGGGCCCAGATGTTTGGGACTTCTGTAACTTGGGCTTGCACCTCCCCATCAATTAAATGGGGATACCAATCCTCATCTGCCTAATGAGATAATGGGCTCTTAATGCACCACAGTAATGCACCAGGCAGTGCTGGCACTACTCTGTGCATTGCACAGAATATTTTATTTCCCTTGACATGCTTGCACAACCTGTTACAG